TGTAATCACTATGCTCCTTAGATTGAGACTTTAAGAAAGAAGTCTTGAGAGCAATTGACTTTTTTTCAGTTATCTTTGTTTTGTCCTTCTTTTCTTTCTTTCCATGTTGCTCTAGGCTTAGAAGCACTTGTTCATGCTCTTTCAGCTTTCCAAACAATGTTGTTAGATCCAAAATTGTGAGGTCGTTAGCTTCATTGTTGGCGGTTACCTTCGGCTGCCATTCCCTGTTAAGACATCTCAAGATTTTGTTAGTAGCAACATCATTGGCCACTGGCCTACCTAGTGAATGCAATCTATTGATGAGATGAACGAATCTCTTTTGCATGTCCGCAATGGTTTCCCCTTGCTCCATGTAAAAGAGATCAAACTCTTGTGTTAGCGTGTTGATTCTCGCTAGCTTAACATCATTGGTTCCCTCATGGGCAACTTGCAATGAGTCCCGCATAACTTTTGTTGTTAAACAATGAGAAACCCTATAATATTCATCAACTCCTAATGAGGAGATCAAAATATTTTTGGCTTTCCAATCGTAATTATATTTCTTTTCATCATCATCGGTCCATTGTGCTTCGGGCTTAGGCACAATCTCATTATTCGCATTGGTCATAGTTATTTCTATTGGACCATTGAGAATAACATTCCACGCTTTTCTTTCTATGGGATTAATGTGCACCCGTATACAGTCCTTCCAATAACTATAATTTTCTCCATTAAAAACGAGAGCTCTATTATAAGCCCCTTTAGGTTTGTTAGCCATATTCTACAAAGTTATACTTGAAGCACGGAGTGAACCGGTGCTCCTGATACCACTTGTTAGACGATGGCAGAGATCTAGAGGGAGGGGGTTGAATAGATCCTAATTAAAAAATCAGTCGGCGCTACCAATAAAAAATTGGTTTTAAAAATATTTGATATGCGGAAGCGGCCGTGGAAAAATTACCGTCTATAACGAACCGTTATTAGAAGACCGGATATGCGTCTACCATATGAATATGATAATGATCAAAGAGAATCACCACACTAGTCACACTATCAATTGATTAATATCACTAATTGGTATGACTAGTTCCAATGCCTCAAAATGCCAACAAATTATATGGACAACACAAGAGAATTTTGGTTTAGACAATTTATCAAACACTTGGCGTGCGTAGCACTCCAAGTGAGTTTTGCCTTGAGTAAGTAGCTCTAGCTTCCTTATGCAATAAAATATTGTACTAGAGTCAAAAACAATTTTCAGCACTTACTCAAACCAATACTAAATTTGATAGAATTGTTTGTACGAAAATTACTCAATTATTAAGCAAAAATGAAAGTGCAGAAAATAAAAGGGACAAAGATTTGTTGAGGCAGTTCCCCCGCCGTCCTCGCTTCGGGGTACGTCTGCCCTTAATTCTAATAATAGAATTGAGCACATATACTATAGATATCACATGTTGTAGTTGAAACGTTTATACAAGAATAGACAAGCAAATATACAAACAAACTCTCTTGTTGTTGAATATGCTCTCTCTTCTTGTTCCTTGATTCGAGTCGAATCAAGTCCTTCGATTGTTGTGGATAGACCTCCAATTACAGCCTCATTTGTTGAACAACCTTGCGTTCTTCAAACCCCAGCCTGACTGGTTTCAAACACAAACTAATCGAACCCGAACCTCTCCTTAACAATTCACCGATTACCGCTACTAGATTGACGGAACTCGCCGCTCCTCAATCACCTTCGCTCAGCTGAATGTTTGTTGAGAAGATTTGTACCAAAAACCCTCAAATTCACCGAATCTTGGAGGACAAAACCCTCAAGGTTTTATTCAAGAAAAACCTGCCAAAAAAACTCAACCCGAACCGGATTCCCAATCAACGGCTTCGGACGTTATCACTTCAAACAAACCACAATGCACAACAATAATTGTTGTGTTATGAAATGTTGAAGATGAAGATGATGAGAACTAATGGCACCTATTTCACTTTTCTTGTTTATGCAATTGACTCAAATTTTTCAATTGTTGTTGATAAAAATGAGCAAAAATCTATTTATAGTATGCCAAAAAGTAAAAGACATAACCACTTTTCGAAATAAGTGGAAAGACTGATAAATGCAGAAAAAGAAGCGAACGGTCGACCAAAACAGAGCAGCGGTTGACCGGAACTCCCCAGACAACATAGATTTGTCAAGGTAACAGACTATGCATCGACCACAGGTCGGCGTGCGTCAACCAATGGAAAATTCACTTTCTAGACACCTTCTATGAGTCGACTGGAACCCTTGGAGTGGTCGGCTCAAACCCTATTATTTTGCAAAAATATTTATTTTTTTGTGATTTCGACACTTCTAGACACAACCTATGATCTACCAAATATGTTGGACTCAATATAGCTAGTTAGATTTACATGACATGTACACAAGAGAGACATAAGAGATGTGATATGCATTTGCCTTATAGTAAGAGTGCCAAAAACCGATTCTTCCATGTGATTGCGTTTTGACATCATCAAAACACACATATGTATGGTATATGAGGATTTGCCCTCACAAATATGTGTTTGTGTTGGAAAATATTTTATTTCCATATTCAATTGTTTACGTTTATTGTCATTTATTTTCTTTTATTCTCCATTAAGGAGAGAATTAAGTATTTTTATTGTATTCTCATTATATAAACCAGCATTTAGCTGAGAAATAAAATTACAACAGTTTTTATCTATTTCTTCCAATATGGTATCGGGAGCTCTGGATTAGGGTTATCGTAAAGCTTTCTACAACTAGTGGGGTTCGGGGCGTAGGCCCGGAAAAAAAAATTTGTTCGACCCGCTTTTTTACCCGATTCGATTCACATACCCGTTAATCCTTAATTCAAGCTAACTACGACTCAAAGTCCTAGTACTCAAGTCAAAAGAGCCTATATGAATAGAATTACATATGCTAGTATAGCAGAGTCTTTGATGTATGCTATGGTATGTACTAGGCCAGACATAGCATATGCAGTGAGCCTTGTAAGCATGTACATGACCAATCTTGGAAAGACGCACTAGTAAGCATTGAAATGGACTTTAAGGTACCTAAATGAGTCTTTGAGCAGAGTCTTGATTTATGGTGGATCTGTGGTGATGATAACAAAGTAAAAATTGAAGGATTTGTCGACTCTAATTATGTAGGTTGTATGGATTCTAGAAAATCTATTTATGGATATGTGTTCACTATTTTTGACACTTCAATAAGTTGGAAAGCAATACTTCAGAAGTTTGTTGCCTTGTCAACCACTGAAGCAGAATATTTTCCCTTATTGAGACTGTGAAAGAAGCATTGTGGCTTGAAGATTTTGCTAAGATGCTGAAACTTCAAGGTCAAGCAATCACTGTTAAATGTAATAGTCAAAGTGCAATACATATGTTGAAGAATTCATCCTATCATGAGCGAACTAAGCACATCGATGTGAAATTGCATTTCATCAGTGAGATAATCGAGCGTGAAGAAGTTCAAGTGCTGAAGATTTCGACTGATGACAATGTTGCTGATATGATCACCAAGTCATTCTCAAGTAGCAAGTTCTTTCACTGTATGCAGTTGATAAAGCTGCATGATAAAAGATAGTGTATTCCCTTGTTGGTGTAATATTTGCTCCAAGGTGGATATTTGTGACATTTGGATTGAACTCTAGCCTCAGTAGGGATATCTTCATTGTTTGACAGTAGTCGAAGATGTGCATGTCGTAGTCGAAGTCTGTTCTAGCATGCAAACGTCTAAGTTAGCTTATTGCTAAAGTTATCATGTTGAATTGGGTCAGTCTGTTAGGCTAAGTGATTAGTATTTTAGTTGAAAGTTAGAGTTTAGTTTTCTTATAAATAACATATTAGTCATCACTTCTTCATTGATCCCTGATAATCCTGATCAGAAAGAGAAAGTGGTGTTATTGAAATTCAATTGTAAACATTATTCCCTAATGTGTAATTTGTTAAAGAATCTAAGATTTTAAATCACTTTGAACTATCTATCTCTTTTTCTCGTTATTTTGTAGTTTTCTTACTGACAAAAAAACCGATCATACTTTATTATTCTGACATCGATTTCACGACAAGACTCAACCTAAACTCTAATCATCTTATCATAATCCTAAAATTTGATCATAATACATCAATCCAACTATTATCAACATAGGAAATAACTGAAAATGTGATTGAATCCACCATATGGAATATGGATTCGTACAAAAGGACACAGATGAATCCCACTAAGATATGAAGGTGCAACCTTACCACCTCCAATACGGGCATGTGGCCTACTAGCCCATCCATTTTCACACTATAAGTTGAAAGAGTTCTCAAACAAATCCACAACCACACACAAAATAAAAAGGTAATAATTGTTAATCATCTAAAAAAAGTCGAAACTGCCATATTTCCATTTTTATGGTAAAAGACACTTCCATAATTGATATGCAATGGGACTGCTATCCTATTCACTCTTTTAATCCTTCTTCTGTCCTTACCCCCATTCCATTATATCTTCATTATTCCCTCTTCAACTAATCTAATCTTAATCATTACTAATTTTATTGATTATCCTCTTAATTAGTTTTTCAAGTATTACTACTTTTATAAAAACTCACAGTGTTCGATTTTTGACGTTCATTCTAACAATATCAGATTCTGTTAGTTGAATTATGATTTATGGACAATTTAAATATTAAAATTTGAATATAGAAGAGACACCAAAAAATATCATCCAAATAATCTGAGTGTCAAATTAGGTAAGGTATTGACAAAACAAAATATAGGAAAACATGGCCGGCCTCATAAATATGTCTATACACGCTAATTTTAGCCACCCACTACTTTTCAAAATTCCTTATTATTTTTCTCCCCCTTTCTTTATATTCCTATTCATTTCCCTCTTTTCCATCTCTCTCACAACCATGTTTTGTTTCCTTATAAATACATTGAAAAAGAGTGAGTGTTGAGTCAATTGAGAGTGAAGTAAGAGAAGTTAGGTGAATCAATTAGTGATGACTTTGGAGATGGGTTCCATGTGGGTGGTCCTCGTGGCCATTGGTGCTGCTCTTTTCGTCCTAAGATCCATTCTCAAAAATGTTAATTGGTGGCTCTATGAATCCAAATTAGGTGTCAAGCAGTACTCTCTGCCACCAGGTGATATGGGATGGCCCTTCATAGGTAACATGTGGTCCTTTCTTAGAGCTTTCAAGTCTAAGGATCCTGACTCCTTCATCTCTTCCATTGTAGCCAGGTAACTATAACTTTCCTCTCTTATTTTATCAGTCAACGTCTGTGTCCTGTATCTGAGCTTGTCTATCTGTTAGTCTGTCTGTCTATTTAATTTTCGTTAACAATTTATAGTTAGAATGAGTTTAGTTAAGTACTAGCTAGCTTGAAGTTGGTTTTTTGTTAGCTTCAAATTAGCTTTATAGTGATGATGATGATGATAACGTTAATTGAACCTTAATAACCTTAAAAATAGTACTCACGATCTTTACCTTTTAAGGTCACAGTTTTGAGACAGACAAACTGCTTCTCTGCGTGTCCTTAAAGCTGCAACTGCTGGTGGTCCCAAAACTATATACTTTGATTTTTCATTATAGATAAAAAATAAATATCTAAAGAAAATAAACAAATTTTTTCAAAGACCAGAGATAGAACATAACAAGAACTTATGAAACTAGAGTATGTTTGGAAACAAAAAATAAAAAAAGATTCTTTTTAAGACAAGAATTTGTTTGTCCTTTTCACTGTAACAGAACAATAGTTTGAGTTTCTTTCATGTTTTGGTTCAATGAGGCGCAGAAGCCAAAATTAATTTGTGGACAGCATCATACATTGTTACTCCAACTTTTGTCCTAATTTGATTATTGGCCTCAATTATTAATTAATTTTTTATTGAAAAAATAATTGAAAAATTAAAATATATTTATTTTTTTAATGTAAAATAATCTAGTACTATTTTGGTGATTAAATAGAAATTACAATCATTTTATTTTTTAAAATAATGTTTAATATACTAAAGTGTTAACTAGTTCATATACACGGTTCAAATTTTATCCAAAAATATTGGAAAATTATAATTTTTATTATTTAAATAACATTAAAAATTATAAAATCAAATCTAATTTTAAGTATGCAAAGTTGTGTATATAGAAGATATTCGATTTATAAAATAAAAAAAATTTAAACTAAGTTAATTTTTATTCATACATGATGATGATAAAAATATTTATAATTATTGAGTAATTTTTTAAAATAAACAAATTAAATTTTTGAACACTCCATTATTGGTCTTAGTATTTTATTGGAAATATTTACATATTATTTATAAAAGTTTGAATTATTTTCAAACAAAATAATTTTTTTTTTTAAATGAAGACTGTAATTTTCAAAAATTATTCGATATAATTTTTTAAAACAGTATAAAATCTAGTTCAAAAAATAAATAATATTCAATAAACATACAATTTATTTCTTTCCAAAAGAGCATTTCTTTTTTTTTAGAAAATAAATTATTATGTGTTGAGTTGAGACATACGTCATGCTGTGCAGTCCATCTCAATGTGGACCTATATATGCATGATTAAGATGGTCTAGACTTTAGTCATAACATGTTCTGGTAATTTTTAATTTATCTCTAAAATAATCTTTAAGATAAATTAAAAAAAGTTTTGGATTATACTATAAGCACTTTCCTTTAAAATATGTACTTGACATAAAATTGTACTACTCAGTAGTAGTACAATTGTCTTATTGTATCTCCCAGGAATAAAATGTCAATGAAAGTTTCAAGAAGAGCATGTTTCATTGCACTAACTTGTTTTTGCTCCCAAAAGATTTTGCAATCTTTTAAATTCTAATTCTCTAATTATATGAACACTGAGTAAAACAAACATCTTTTTATGTTACTTTAGCTAAATAATTAAGTTGGCACTATCAATATTTTTTTAGTTTCTTGTGTTTGGTAAAGATTTCTCATCAGATATGTCAGCATAAAATTTTAAAAATATGTAAAATAAATAATTGAAGTATAAATATAAAGCAAACATTTTTAGGCCTTAAAATAAATAATTGAAGTATAAGTATAAATAAATTTGATCGGTTAGATCAGATTTTTAAAAATATTAGGTTAAATAAATATAAAAAAAACTATAATATATCATAGAGTTGACTTAGGCCTTAAAAATTTATTGGAGTCTCACTCAAACATTTTAGAGTGTCAACTTGTCTGTCATATTCTCACACTACATGATAGAATAAAAATATTAATGCATTTTTAACTTGTTAAATAAATTGTTTGGATGATATAAAAATAGATAGTTTAGATGATATAAACAAGAGATATAGAAATTACAAAGTTGTGTGAAATTAATATTAATTTTTTAAGTAGGAACTAATATTTAAATTTTAAATATTAATATTTAGTGTCTGATGAACGCGTATTCGAATACGAATATACTTCGGAGAAATTTATGTGAAAAAGTTTGTTTATTTTTATAAAAAAAAAATCAAGGAAGGTAAAATAGAGTTTATAGTATTTTGAGATTGAGTTGTATGAATTAAGAAGTTTCACTAACAAGATTTGATTGAATTTGTAGATATGGAAATAGTGGAATATACAAAGCCTTAATGTTTGGAAACCCAAGTGTAATTGTGACAACACCAGAAGGATGCAAAAGAGTTCTAACAGATGATGAAAATTTTGAACCTGGTTGGCCTCAATCTACCATAGAGCTCATTGGAAAGAACTCATTCATTGCAATGACTTACGAAGAACACAAGCGCCTTCGACGTTTAACATCGTCTTCCATCAATGGCATGGAAGCATTGTCTTTGTACTTGAAATATATCGAAGAAAACGTCATCATTTCGTTAGAGAAATGGTCTAACATGGGACAGATCGAGTTTTTAACCGAAATTCGGAAGCTTACTTTTAAAATCATTATGCATATTTTTCTTAGTTCAGAAAGTGAACCTGTTATGGAAGCTTTGGAAAAAGAATACACAATACTTAATCATGGAGTTAGAGCTATGCAAATCAATGTTCCTGGATTTGCTTACTATAAAGCACTCAAGGTAAATCAACAATGTTATGGGATGGATGGAACGGATTTAATTTGCGCTATGATATATGTTTCTTAACATTTTCTTTGATTTCAGGCTAGGAGAAATCTAGTTGGCATATTTCAATCTATTGTTGATGATAGAAGAAACATAAGAAAGGTTTATTCGCAAAAGAAAGCGAAAGATATGATGGATTCTCTTGTAGATGTCGAAGATGATAATGGAAGAAAGTTGAGTGATGAAGATATCATTGATATAATGTTAATGTACTTGAATGCTGGTCATGAGTCTTCAGGACATATTACAATGTGGGCTACCTATTTCCTACAAAAACACCCTGAATATCTTCAAAAAGCCAAGGTATTAATCAAATAATTAATCTCTGTCGTGTGTCTGTGTTGTGTTTGTGTCTGAATATAACCAAAATTTAATAGGAAGAACAAGAAGAAATAATAAAGAGGAGACCTTCAACGCAGAAAGGGTTGACACTTAAGGAAATTCGCGGCATGGATTTTCTGTATAAGGTATATATTTCTGGCTATCTCAAGATTTTGTTTTGAAACGACAAATGTTAGTAAGTTTGATTTTCATTTTTTTTCTTTGTACATTCTATAGGTAATCGATGAAACAATGCGCGTGATAACATTTTCATTGGCGGTTTTTCGAGAGGCGAAATCCGATGTCACTATAAATGGTTAGTCCATTTTCTGCATATATCATGTGACATGAAGTATAATCTTTTATTTCATATAACAAAAACACTAACTTTATATTATGGATGTTACAGGTTATACCATACCAAAAGGTTGGAAAGTGCTTACATGGTTCAGATCAGTTCACCTTGATCCTGAAATATATCCTAATCCAAAGGAATTTAATCCTAATAGATGGAATGTAAGTTCTAAAATATGAACTTTAGATTTGTGATTACATTATTTTCATTATTCATTATATTAAATTAAGCACTTTTTTTAACAGAAGGAACATAAAGCAGGGGAATTTCTTCCCTTTGGAGCAGGAACTAGATTGTGTCCTGGCAATGATCTAGCCAAAATGGAAATAGCAGTTTTTCTTCATCATTTCACTCTTAATTACAAGTGAGTAACCAACCATTTTTAACATAAAAAAAAACAAACAAATTATGTGTTTTATTAACAAAGATTATGTTATTGTTTTATTGCACAGGCTTGAACAGCTTAATCCTAAATGTCCTATTAGATATTTACCACATACAAGGCCTATGGACAATTGCTTAGGAAGGGTCAAGAAATGTTGAATAACATAAACTTCAAATGGAAAAGAAAGTTCATGGTTCTTTGTTTTGTGAAAATTGTTTTCATGTTTATCTTTTGGTAAATCCACAAATCTCAACCTACTTTAAGCTATTTTATGATAGTTGAAAAAAAAAAGTTTAGGAAGTTTCACAGTTTATACATATAAGAAATAAATATAATTACCCAAGTCTCGTATTATCCTTAGAATATATATATATATATATATATATATATATATATATATATATATATATATATATATATATATATATATATATATATATATATATATATATATATATATATATATATAGTTATTCAAAAGTATATCTTACGCTTATTTATCTAGCTAGTTATTCAAAAGAAAAAAATGGTGTTTATGATTCATGTGCTTGAGAAATGAGAATAATTTATTAAGGGTGATAGATTCCTACCATCACTAGAGGAAATTAATCCATTTATTTTTGTGTTCATTACAAATAAAAAGAATGAAAAGTAAAATTGCATACAGGTATATTGACACCCATTTCTACACCCTACACCTCAATTACTGTTCACAAATACTTGAACAAATTCCCCAGAACATGGTTAATAGTGTGTATTTTATTGGTTAATGAAGTAGTGAAAGTGGTTAATAAATTATAGGTAAAATAATTGGTTAATAATGTAGATTTTTGTGGTTAATGCAACTGTAAAGTTGGTTAATGCGCAATCTTATATTTGTGTTATAAAATAAATTTTAAAAATAAATATTTTTTTTTTTAAAATTAATATTTTAAAAAAATATATTATTTTAATTAAAAAACACTGTTCACCGTATAAATACGGTGAATAGTACATACGGTATAAGTATTGAGTGTAGAAAAGAGCGTAGGAATAACATTTTTCAATTGCATAACACCAACATAATAAAGTAATAAAAAAATAGTAATACTATTTTAGTATAGATTATGAACTAGATAAATACCCGTGCGACTCACGGGTTAGTTATAAATATAATAATTTTGTTGATTATTTTAATACAAAGTAGGTAAGATATTTAATTAAATTAAATGTATGAGACTCTTTTTTCATTGAACAACCTATACTTGCAAATAATTGGATGAAAAGACTATGATAATAGGTGTTAGACTGTAAATTTGAAGTGAAATTTATTTAATTATTTAAATAATTATGTATCAATTACAAATATGTGTACCATATTTTTTTTAATTATTTATAAATATTATTATTTATCCCATATTTTTTAATGAAAAATATTTTATATGTATTTTTTGTTATAATTATTATGGACAAATATTTTTCTTGTATATTTTAAGATAATTGATGACTAATATTTGTCCAATATCTTTTTATTTATCAATGACAAATACGTGTCACATGTTATTTTATAATTATCGTTATAAAAATTCATCCCATGTTTTTTTTTATGTATAAATAATAAATATTTATCTTGTGTTTTTTATACTAATTAATAATAAATATTTATGTTAAATTCTTATCTAGCTAATAGTGAAAAGTATTTAATTTTTATTTATTTTATAATTATTAATGACAAATAAGTGTTTTCATTCTTATGTTAACCATATTAAGGGTCTCTTTGTATCACCTTTAAAAAAATGATTTTTTTTGTATTTTTAAAACTAAATTTTATAAAACTGTTTTTAAAAATATTACAAGTTTCTTAATATTTATTTATTTTAAATTATAAAACTAATTTTGACTTCCTATAACTTAAATAATATCAAGATTAAAATATAGTATACATCACAATTTTTTCAAAGAGTTATATTTTTAAAATTTTTTTTATAAAAAGCTATTTAAAATAGTTTCAAAATTAAGTGTATTTTAAATAAAATGATAAAATATCTAAAATAATAATTTAAGAATAATTATTCAAAAAAAACTTTCATTTAAAACTTTTATGAAAAATTTCTTTGTAAATTTGTTTTACACAAAATTATGTTACATCATAAAAATTATTTTTAAAAATAAAAATAAAAAAACAAATGGATTTAAATGAGTATTAATTTTAATCAATTATTTGAGGGAGAGATATTTGTTCTATAGTCTTTATAATGAACTTAAATTAGTATATTATAATTATTTAAATATCTAATAAGAATATAATAAAAAATAGTAATAAACTGAACCAACCAATTGAATGGTATATCAAGAATTTAAACTCACACTTTTACAATTGAGTTTTCATGTAACTATATCGGCTCAATTGAATTAATGGAACATAAATCTTATATATATAAAATTTGTTAAGTTTTTTAATAATTTTTAGTGTAAAAGATTCATATATAAAAACTGTTAAGTCTCCTAATAATTTTTGATGTCAAACATAAAGATAGTTTTGTAATTTCATCCATTTATTAATTAATTTTGCACAAGACATGGAGGGGGATGGGAAAGCACTGCATCTAGAAGTTCGTGATGACAAACGTTACACTCTTGATAAGTAGAACTCGACCTGCATAACTAAGAAGAGAAGTACTCCAACGTCTGGTCCTTCCAACAATCCTGTCAATCATGGGTATGTAGTGATGGATAGCGAGCTTCTTGCTTGTCAAAGGAACCCCTAGGTATTTAAAAGGGATGGAACCTTCTGTAAAATGTGTGAGCCCAATGATGTCCTGTTTTGTATTGGCATATACCCTTCCAAAGAAGACTTTACACTTGTTCAGGTTGATCCGTAATCCCGTCGACAAAGTAAACTTGTTGAAGGCATTCATCATAATGGCAATGGAACCAATATCACCACGAGAAAATAACAAAATATCATATGCAAAGGATAAATGAGTGAGGTTAATATTTTCGCACTTGGCACGATGGTTAAATTTTAGATTGAGCTGCATTTGATGTAAGACTCTATTCGAGTATTCCATGACAATCACAAACAGTAGGGGAGACATTGGGTCCCCATGCCGGATCCCACGCCTGGCCTGCATACAAGTAGTTCGATGACCACTGATGTTGAAAGTATAGAATACAGAGGTTACAGCTACCATGATCCATCAAACGAATTGGTGCGATATTCTTACTTCCTTTAAGATACAAACTATGGCATTCCAATCGACCATGTCGTACGCTTTCTGAAGATCTATTTGCATCATGCATCTAGGAGTCCCATTTTTCGAGTATAACCTTTAATCAGCTCATGGGCAAGCAGAATATGATTATGAATTTGCTGGCCCGACACAAAAGTGGCTTGAGACTTGTTAATAATGGTTCCCAACACCTTGCTCAGTCTTGTTATGATTATTTTGGAGATGATCTTATAAAACATGGTGTAGACAACTATAGGTGTGTAGTCTTTGATCGATATGGCCTCGTCAATTTTGGGAATAAGAGCGACCAGTGTATTGTTGAAGGCCTTGAAGAGTTTGTCACCTATGGCATTCACGAATGCATAAATTTCAGACTCATTGATAACAGACATCAAAGACTCCCTCTGCTCCATGCTAAGCTGCGGCCCTGCCCTCATGACTTGCACATCAATATACCTGCATAAAAAGTCAGAATTTCCTCCTTAATATCAAACTAGGATGTAACAATTGATCCATCATTCTTGTACAACATGTTCAGTATGAATTATTCCCGTCCCCGAGTCTGAGCCAGTCTAGCTTAGATTTTTGTTGGAGAGTTTTTTCCTCCAACTCGTTCCAATAGATAATGGCTTCAGTGCAGATTTTAACCTTCTCAATCTTAGTCCTATTCATCTTGTCAGCATTGAACTCGTGTTGTGCAACATTCAGATCAGCCCTGACCTTGATAACATTCTGATGGATGTTGGAGACAAGTTTGCTGAATTTTTCCAAAACAGGCTGAAGTCTCTTTGATTTCTTCCATAAAATGTATATTGGTTTGCCACCAATGTATTATTATTATTATTATTATTTTTTTTTTAATTTCATTTATTATTAATTATTAATGATAGTATACGGTGAATAACTAACCGACTAGTTCCATTAATTTTCCTTATATGAGTTAGTTTAGCTCATATAAAAACATCCATGTTTCTACCAATTATAATAATAATAATAATAATAATAATAATAATAATAATTATTATTATTATTATTATTATTATTAATATTATTAATGAATTAATTAATATTATTTATAATAACATGCGAGTTACTAATCCATTAGCTTCATTAATCTTCTTACATAAACTACATTTTCCATATAAAATAATCAATTGATGAATTAAAATATGTTGTTTCACTTTAATAAATTTAATATTAATTCTGGATGCATTGTTTGTCTTTTTCGAAGAAATTTATTCGAACCATTGAGGTCATCTGCAGATTCTTCCTCTGGACGGGTAAGAATACTATTTCAAAAAAGTCTCATATTTCTTGGAAGCAGGTATGTAAACCTAGGGCTGCTGGTGGTTTAAATATCATTTCTTTAGATTGTTAGAACAAAACTTGTGTGAGATATTGGATCGAAGTCTAGTATTTTTGAAAGAGGTTTAGCATGCCGTCAAAGTCTGCTCACATGCTGTTGTCGAAGACCTATATGCTGTAGTCGAAATGTGTTCTAGTATGTAGTTGTCGATTTTGGCCTTGTGTTAAGGATCCAATTGTTTAAGTTAGCCTGTACTCTAAGTTAGCTTGTAATGGATAATTGTTAAAAAGCTCATTAGTTTAGTATGTTAGGTTTATTATAAATAGCATACTAGTCTTTCATCTTAAGTATGGTGTGACAAATCCTAATTAGGGTGAGAGGGATATTTGTTATTCTTGAGTACTTGTAATCTAATTTAAAGAGAAAGTAAAAAATAACAGTTATAACCAATCCCTGTTGTTCTTCTTGTTTTTTCCATTAATCATAACCCTTGTATGTTTCTTGATCATAAAGAAATCATTTATACTTTGTTTCAAGACATTGTTTTTCACAACAAATTAATGCGGTAAGCATGGAGGAAGATGCCTTAAACAAAGTATGAGATTGAAAAGTTCACCAGAGTGAACGATTTCGGTCTGTG